TTATAATGAAAATTATAATCTTTTCTATAAGATAATTTCAGATTTCATTTATGTTGGATTCTGTTTTGTATTGGCAATCAGGTTTTTCGATTGTCTCCTCGATTAAACACCCTGTATAGAGGAAAGGGCAAAGCAGTACGGAGTATGTATGTAGGTACATAGACGCGGAGTATACACGGTGTAATGTACTTTGGTTAAGCGCATCGGAGCATGCTCGTCGCCCGAGTTAACGCATTTAATGGAGGTTAATTTTGCATATGGTATTGCTCCCCCGGTGCTCTAACCTCTTTACTAACGCGCTGGCGTACACGCTCTACAACCCCCGGATACTGGCAAGCTTTCACGAGCCACAAACTATCCGAAATTATTATGCTCGGCTCGATCTCTGCCTGCTGATGCGATTACCACGATTATTTAACTTAACTTATTCCTAATCATTCCCTTGCGAAAAGATTGCCAAGTTTTAGAACGCTCTCCAGCTTTTACTAATAGAATTTGTTAGGGCAGCTTCAAGTTTAAATGGACATCGGATTTTAGCTGCTGAAAATGAAAAATGCACAGACGCTCGAGGAATCTTAAAATTAAATAAAAGGTTCCTCAGTGATTCTATTAATTATAGAATTCGTTAAGAGATCAGAAAGGTAATTGCATTATAAATTTTTGCACAAAATGTAAAAGTCAATAAATGTATAAAAAAAATTGATAGATACAAGGAATTGTGATCGAGAGTAATGTTTATCGGAGAAAGAAGGGGTTGATCAGATTCGAGAAATTCATCCCCCGAGCTGAAGGGGCGAGGTAATTACGGTGTTATCGCTTTTAATTGCGATTCACGCGATTGTCGTCGTCGCGTGCCGAATTATTGAATGTTGACGTCACCCCGACGGCGTGGGGCGGGAGACGGGACGCGACAACGCGCGGCTCTTTGCTCTCTCGTGTTCAACGTAATTGCCGGCACCAATTATGCAATTAACGCCCCGCTCTCTAATGAGCCGGCATGAGCACGGCAGAGCATTATAACGCCGCGCGGAATCTAAACTAAACAGCACCGGGCACGGTTACATTCCGACTCGATTTCACTCAAATATTGGCTTTTCCATTCACAGGTTACTGATTTTCAACTTAAGGATGTATTGGCTATACAGTCAATCCCAGCAAATCCCAAATTAAGTATTGACGCTGACGAAAAAATTTTTTTTTCAAAATTGCGAAAAATGCTTCAAATAAAAGTTGTTTCCCTTCTAACTTCGATATTTAATGAGTTACATATGATTATTTGGCATTTTATTGATGTTGACAAAATCCGACCATCCCAGCGTCGAAATGGCGAACTTTTGGCAAAAAATTTCATTTTTCCTTAATAACTCCTAAACCGTTGAATCTACGGGAAAATTGTATACGACCTTTCTTGTAG